GGGGTCATCCCGAGCGGGAAATATGGGTGGGTGGATCGTAGTCAGCAAAAGTTCACGCCAACGCCACGATGTGCTCTGCTTGTGCTTTCTCTGCCGTCGTTTTCTGGTGTCTCCCGCGCTCTTCAGTGTATCGTCGCCTTTCGCGTATCGCAACAGATCTTGAGCATCTTCTACTCGTCTAGTGTCCGATAATTTGCAAGAGGGGAGTCTTATTGCGAGCTATTTTTCACGCTTTTCTTCACTAGTAGGGAGTCCTATTGGAGCTGTTTTTCACGCTTTCTTCTTCACTAGTAAGTGAGCTAGAACACTGCACTCCCGTCATTCAACTTTATTACCTACGACTTACAGCGACAGTAAAGTACCTCTACTGGTATCAGCGATTAACCATAAATATCACAAAAAATCACTTATCAAAAATTGTAAAATTGCTGACCTCAAGAGGGATTCGCCGAAGAAACCTCGTTTCAGTACTGCTTTTTCGTGTGTAAATGTGTCGAACCCGTATTTGCCACGATATCGCCCCATTCCGGAATTTCCAACGCCGCCAAATGGTAGAGTATCAACTGCAATGACATAGGATCTATAATATTAACTGCCTTCACAGGGCTCTCACACCCTTGGTGGTCGTCGGAATGAATATTGATTTTGCGCTCTGGTAATCAATAGCTACTGACTACAACGGCTAATACCTCCGTTACAGCTTGGCAACAGCAACAAAAAGAAACACAGTGTACTAACCAGTTACGTGCATGATGACGTCGTTGATGGTTACTCCGCCGCTGCTCGTCTCAGTGTAGAATCGCTTTGCCTTTGCGTCACTTCGAGTGAAAATGTATGCCGCAAGGGGTTTTTCACCGTCATTAATATGATCAATGGCTTCGTTTAGGTCGCTGACTGTGAGCACGGGGAGCACCGGGCCAAAAATCTGAAAAAAATCCAAAATCGCTCTGAAAGCGAGTGTTTTGTGTAGGATTTCTGCATTTTTTATCCTCCCGAACTTCGGCACCAATTTGGTGCGCCTGGGCAGATAAAACCTGCTGGCCATTGAGCATGGCCATGCGAGCTATGCTTCCCCATGCAGCTACACCGAGTCCTTTTCACAGCGCATATTAGGAAATGATTCCGTAATCGCTTTTGAAATGCTAAATTTTCTTGCCCCCCCCACCCTCCCTCCCCCTCTGTAACAATGGTGTCTGGCTCAAGTCCTCTTTCCGCCCTTGGTAACGCGTAAGGGCACTCCGCCTTCTTTCATGTGCCCAGGTTGGAAGGCAGTGGGTGCGATTGCTGTAGGTGGCGGTCATAGGCGGATGGGCTGCGAGAAAGCGTTCGGCCACACCCCACTCAGCCCTTCCACCAACGGCGCTGGTGACAATCGCCCACCCCTGACCATCGTGCCCAAATCTCCCAGTCCAGGATGGGTGAAGTGAACTACATTCGTGAAGGGAGACAAAAGCGCTGATCCGAACACTCGCTGACTCCACAGGCAGTAGGGCGACAAAGGCGGTCACGCGAGCTCCTCAATGCCCCTAGAATTTTCTGCATGCGAAACACGCTCCAAATTGCTTCAATCGTGCCAGTCTTTAGTGGGGTCATGTTGAGCAAATAGATCGGCAGTACTGCTAACAGTGCTAACTCACCTCATCATGCATGAAGGGATCGTCTGCCTTGACGTCCAAGATCGTTGGCGGTATGAACAGGTCGTTTCGATCCCTTTCACCGCCGGCATAGAGAACCGTTCCCTTGGTTGAGTCCAGAAAGTGAACTGAGTCGACTAAAAATGGCAAGATAAAAATATGGCTGTGTAAGGCTGATCACAAGAGAAAAGGGATAATGTATCTTTGGGGTGAAATGAATAGAAGAAAAATAAGAATCTCCTGACGATTCCAACCACTAAGGACTCCTGGGCGTTTCTATCTGATAAGATGGAATATTGACTTCCGGAGAGGGAACGTTGACAAGATCTTGTTTTACTATGATGAGTGCCCTTTGACGCAGCAGATCGCGCACTAAAAAATTATCGCAAGAATGCTGAATCATGAGCCCCCTCCATCAGTGTAATGGTAGCGCGCTCAGCGCCGGTCAGCGTCAGTTACGGCCTACAGTCCCGCCTGGGTCTGGTTTTGGCCCGTAGTTCAGCGTTGTTGTGATTGAGAGGATTCCCTGCTGACTTCCCTCCAGCGCCCCAACAACTAGAGGTCCACTGACTCGTCCAACTGAAGTTATGAATGGCCTTCTGGTCGACGGGATTTCTCTGGGAAATTGGTGGTAAGGGGAAAAGAGGAGGTAGAGGGAACATGAGGTTGGACATGGTCAACGGGAGGAAGTGGTCGATAGGCCGTGGTGAATGGCCGAATTCCCCATCGCGAAAACATCTGACCTAGATGTCTCCAAGAAGTTCAATGGAAGTTCATTGCGTTGCGCAACTCAGGTAGCTAGAGTAAAAAGTAACAAATGATGCTCGGCCAGCTATGTCGTCTACCCGATGACAATGTAAGGAGGGGCTAATCAAAATAATATTCCGCGTTAATTGAATGGGCGGAGTCACTCTAACAAACAAACAGAAGGACCGGTCCAGCATGAAAAGCGCAGTGGTCATAGTGAGGGATGCGCATTTGGAATAAAATGTAGATAACCTACTCGTAGTGCCTTTGACTGATGATTCTTGGATAATCGTTGCTGGCTTTCACATCACTACCGTAGAATTCCACAATCGTTCTTCGCACAGCGTCAATAAGCTAAAGCACATGACATTAGGAGGCATCGACTTTACAGCTCCTCACTCTCCAGGCTAGCCCGCTAATTCAAGACACTTTCAGAATACCTTGGGTTTAGTCGTCGCCGAAACCATAAGGTAATCCGGTGCGAGGCATGTCTGACCGCAGTTCAGCCATTTTCCCCAAACTAATCGTCTAGCTGTCTTCTCGATATCAGCGTCGTCTTCGACCACAACAGGACTGAGTAGATTCGATTTCGTCAATTGGTATGATTTGTGATAGCTATCCACAAGAAAATGACTTACCATTTCCCTCCAAGTTCCAATGTGACGGGGGTTAGATGCTTAGCGGCTGCCGCCATGACGATTTTCCCTACTGGGGGACAGCCAGTGTACATAATGTGATCGAATCGTTCCTTCAGAAGTTCTGTTGTTTCAGGAACGCCTCCATTCACTACGGCAAGATAATCCTGCAAACGAACACGGCTTGTGAACTCAATTGCACCGCTGTCACTCCAGAACGGAATATGGTGATAAAATCAGCAAAATCGATCAAAATTATTTTTGTTCAACGATCTTGGAATTGTCCTCAAAAATGGGTGAACTCAGAGATGTGCATGCGAGAACGAGCAGCAAAAAGGGAAAGTGGCATGAAAGCCACAGCCCACGATTTTTGAGGAGGTAGAATCCCTTCCGCATATGATGTACAACAGGTCCGCAACCAGGACTTACGGTCTTGTTCGCTGCTGATGATGGGGCGTATTAGTGAGACTGGGCTTGGCACGGAGGTTCCTCACCAGTTGCTGGAACTGGTAAGCGACATTGTTGATGAAAAAACGACTGATATAAACTAGATGATTGAATGTTATCTTGTCGCATTGCTTGAAAGGAAGGAAAGAACGGGCTGGGCGCCACATCATTACCAATTCCCTGACACGCCCCCCCCATCATCAGTGACACAAGCCTGTATCTTACTTTCCATACACAAAAAGTGAAACGGGGAGTCGTACCTTACCGGTTGTTGAAATACCTACGGAAGACCAGTTTTCTCAACGGTAGCAGCAGTGTATCAGATGTAGACTGTCTGAAGGGTTGGTTAGCCGACAACAGGTGTTACTCTGAAAAAATGCTCAGATGAGTAGAAGAAGTCTAGAAGCAGCGGCACTTAGGCTCGGGAGTTGAGGGCGGATTCTCACTCATATCTATTTTATTGTCCAATTAAAGGCGACGCTGACGCGATAAATCCTCCAAGCGACTAGGGTCAATAGTTCCTGGCAGGATGAATTAAGCGCACCTGGGCAGGCGCACTAGTGCATAGCGGTTTCCCCAAGGAACGGTGCCTGTTATAAGGGGCCTTTCAGCCACACTTAGGTCCCAAACGCGCCGCCACGCCCGCCCGCCCACAAATGGACGACCGTTCCTGACGCTCGTATTCATTCATTTGCTAAGCAAATTATGAAGCAAAGGGATTGGTATGAAGCGGCGGTGATGCTGCATGCATACATGGGTACACATATGCAGCCGTATCTTCGGTAGCGGTGATTGGTAAGATGCCTATGGGAAACTCGTCCGAAATCGATTTACAAGTCACTGTAGAATGGTCGGCCTTTCTTCGGTAGTGGTTTTGACGTTTGACTCTTCTTCCGCCATTTTCCCCACCACTACAGCGCGCCTACTAGCATTGTCAGGCTAAGTGGCCGAAAACCACGTGCTTGCCACACTGCCTTTAAGGAGGATGGAATGCTAAACATTACAGTCTCATCATTTACGGACCGGTGGGCGCTCAAGCCGCGCTGCCCTGTGACGCGACAGCGGCTGCGGCTTGGTGCTGTTCGCTGGCAGAACGGTTCAACAGTCACCCGCGCTCTTGTTCCGTGCCCCCATTTGCGCGCCCGGCTACCTGGGGTGACTGGCGCCTATTCAGTGATAGACGCCGCGGCCGATCAGCTGATCTCGATGAAAATCGGCTGCAATTTTTTTATTTTCAGCCCTTCAAGCTGCGGAACAGCAAGGTGAGTTCTCTTGAACAATTTTAAAATGTTCTGGCTGTAATTTATTATGTTTTGTGCCTATTTTATTGCCCTTTTCCTTGTATTTTTTCCTTTTTAGGGTTTTTCGATTGATGCATGCTTTCCCACCCTTTTTTTGGCTCTTACTTCATGCTGGCGAGTTGTGTCTTAGATGTATTTCTCTTTTTGATGAAACAACTCTTTGACATCGGTTTGAAAAGTACTGCAGACCAAGTGGGGGTGGGGGGGGGCGAACTCCTTTTTACCAAACATTTTCTGCTGTGGCGATGTCAAGATAGTTTCAAGAATTCAAAAACAGAAAAATCACCCACCCACACCCGCCACCTCGCAGCTAAGAGCGCCACACAACCACACACGCGCCCGGTGGGAAAGCATGCATCAATCGAAAAAACCCTAAAAAGGAAAAAATACAAGGAAAAGGGCAATAAAATAGGCACAAAACATAATAAATTACAGCCAGAACATTTTAAAATTGTTCAAGAGAACTCACCTTGCTGTTCCGCAGCTTGAAGGGCTGAAAATAAAAAAAATTGCAGCCGATTTTCATCGAGATCAGCTGATCGGCCGCGGCGTCTATCACTGAATAGGCGCCAGTCACCATACCGGGCGCGCAAATGGGGGCACGGAACAAGAGCGCGGGTGACTGTTGAACCGTTCTGCCAGCGAACAGCACCAAGCCGCAGCCGCTGTCGCGTCACAGGGCAGCGCGGCTGAGCCGCCCCACCGGTCCGTAATGATGAGGACTGTACTTACCTGCAGCAATTGCAGCAACAAGAGGCTGCAAAACCATCGAAACGGGATAGTTCCACGTGCCGATGATCAGTACAACACCTAGCGGTTCTCTAACAATCATCGGCTGATCCAGCAGTGTAGCAAATGTCTTTTGCACCTGAAAATTGTAAAGTAGAAGGGCTAATGGAAATCGTTCATGACTGGAAATCTAACATTCTCATAAATGGACGAACTTAAAGTGCTGTTCAGAGTGCACACATGGCAAGCTGGAAATTAATCTCGTTGGTTTGCAGTAACAAGTAGGTATTTTATCGGCTCCAAAAATCACACCTTTGGAGAGCCCATGGGGATGGTCGAAGCCAATTTCACAAGAAGAGCCCTATCTTATCTCATCGAAACGACTGATAATTTGGGAGTTATGTTTAGTTAATTTACACCGACATAGTAAAACTGCCAGGTGAGCCCTTCATAGCAAATGTTCTTGTACAGTTGATCGTGCCGAAATCCGGCGGCCGGTGTCAGGAGCGTGGAATGAGCCCACTTGCGACGTTTTCTGCCGAATTGAAACAACAGGTAAAACGCAGCCATGGGTAGGCTCATTCCACGCCTCCTGAAGGCCCAGCCAGATAGCGGCTGTACGTGATTCCGCAGTGTCGGAATAGGTGCACAATGCGACATGGCGAAAGCTGTGTCTCAACGACGTTTGCTTGCCACATATACTGTACGGGCGGTAGGTATGCCATAGCCAAGGCACGTCATACGTTGGGATTCCCAGCGGTGAGGTCGTATCTGAGGGGCGTACTACCGTATCAGAGGAGGGAGAAGTGGGTCTTATTTGCTTTCGAGAACACTAGTTTCGGCTGCTAACTTTTCTTGGTTTTTCCCGTTTCACTGGCGCTGTACACCTTCTGACCGGTAGTTACTGGAAATGGTAATTACAGAAAGTTGGGAGAATTCAGGAAGATGGTAAGCAGGAAGGGAAATAGGGAAGAGGGTCGTACCAGAGCACGGCCCTTTTTCGAGGGGATTAGGGTGGGGGTTTGTACTTTTCAAAATCTTTCAGAAAAGGCAGGATGTGCCCAGATCATTCGATCGCGAGAGTGGTAGTCTTGTTTCCGTGAAACGCCGAAACGTGGAGTTTCTGACAGACACAACAGCACTGTTCGGATAAGGGGGAGAGTATTCTGCCACCTCCCTTCGACGTGAAGATCTGTGAACACCTGCGAAACTATGAAATGGATGTTACTCAGCGAAGATTGCACAAGCCACTCTGTGAGGACCCGTAAATTATTGTAAAACTAATAAGGTTATACATAATGAAGCTCACGCCATTTCCGGAAATTTGCAAGTATTCACAGATCTTATCACATCTGTTCGACAGAACTTCCATTTCACAATCTCGCAAGAATTCACGGATTTCACCAACCTCAGGGAACTGAAGAAACTAGCGAAGTTGGACAAAGTCTACCTCCGCTTAAGCCGAACGCCGAACCCCGAGCGCTGAAGATAGTGACTTTCACGCCTTTATGAACGAGAAACTCGTAATCCAACCGTTACAAACGTGTTCGGGATTCCGCATCTAGTGAGAATTTGCGAGGGAAAAAATAGATCCATATCGTTATCGGGCTGTGGCGATAACGGTGGTCGGCAAAAGATCCACGTTACGCGGCTTCCGAACCGGGATCCAACTGATTTCGAAGTATGTCGAGTCGAGTCATGGTCATACGAGAACAGGACCCACGGTAGAAGGGATTTTGCAGAAACTTTCCCCAACGGCAAGACGGTTCTACAAATGACCTATCATCCCATACCTCCACTGGCCAGTCTGGTAAAAGATCTGAAAGTCCAAACATTGTACCTCGCTTCAAATCCATAGAAGGACGAGTTTTCAGCAAAAATTCGACGAAAACAGGATTTATCGTCGAGTTTTTGTTTGGGTTTACGTGGATAGATTTTTGAAGCTGATCAACCAAGGCCGACGGATTTGCAGAGCTTTGCAGCCCTATTGCGCGATATGAGCCGAATCTTTGATGCTTCACTGCCAGTACTTCCGGAAGATCTGTCTACACTGCTTTTCAAAGTTTCGTTCGGCGTCTCTCAGGCATCAGGTAGACCTTTCTCCTTCACGTAGTTTTAGCAGCCATATGAAAAGTTTGCGTTACAGGTGCTCTTATGATACTTCTCGCCACAGTTTGGATGGATCTGTACAACAATAACGGCATCTGGACAGGACTATATTTTAGATTCCATCCCGTTTTAATGGCATTTGGCGTAAGCATTGGGATACATTTTAAGACGTAAAACCATGAGGAGTAGCCATGCGGAGTAAGAAGCAGAACCTCTACACAGCAGCACCTAAGTACTTGTACACCCACCCGTCTCACGAGGGAAAGCGAGAGCGGCTTATGAAGGGAATGAACGGCCACCCTTTCCAGGTTCTATGTGATCACACTGCTACGTATGTGGGCGTACTTCGCTGAAAGCACAAAAAATAGTGATCGGCTAAGACAGCGTTCAGACTTCGCGACGGCAATGCTTCCGTCGCGTGTTCGCCGCGACGGAAGCGCTGCCATCGCGAAGTCTGAACGCTGCCTAAGAGAGCCTCTCATATGCGCACGTATAACAGGAATCCGACCGCAGCGCGTCTTCTCACAGCTGCATTTGTTCGACCCGCTCCCTCCCACGTGGGGCGCACCGTGACACTAAGGGAATCGAGAGACTTCAAAGGCAGTGAGCACGATTGCTGGAAGCGGGCTCGTTGCCAGCGTCACTGGAGGAAGGGCGTTGAGCACACCCCCAAAAGCTTTAAGCAGGCTGTAGGAGGGCGTTCGGCCGAACTGCCCAAGGCTCTGTGAGGGCCAACGCGCCTCCAGAGACGCTGGCAACCAATCGCCCGTCTCCGCCGAGCGTGCCCTCTTCCTTTGTGGGACCGTCAGGGAATTCGAGACAAATCCTACTAATAGCTGGATTTTGTTCAGATTTATCTTCTCGGAAATGCGCTACTGATGTTTCGAATACTACGAGCTCGGAAAAAATGGAAGGCAACGCTGGCACATGTTGTCGTTCACAGCTGTGCCATTTTTGTCATGTGCTTGGCTGCTTTCATTGTTTGGTCTACCTACACGTCGATCGATGACACAACAGCATCCAGTACAGCATCTAACGGTAAATCTCAGGGTTATGAGGGGCTGACGGAAAAAGAAAGGTTCGCCTCATGAAAGTGCGAAAGAAATGACTTAACGTCGTTGTCACTGAAGTCATTCGGGGCGTGCCAGATGCACGTGCCTTTTGGCGCGGCGCCAGTCCCTTTCCCACCACTCATACAACAATCGATGGAAATAGACTGGTGCATCGCCATGCGCCTGACACGCCCCAAGCGACTTCGCGATAACGACTGTGACTTTTGGAAGGACCTC